CCCGAGCCGGGCCGGAGCCACCGGGGCTCCGTCTGTGCGAGTGGCGGGGAGGCTCGCTGGGAAGCGGGGAATCCGGCTTGCAAGCTGCAGGCAGCGACCCGGGCTCACAGGGGCTGCAGTGGCCCGGTGCCCTGGCGCCTTCCCGTGGCTGGGCTTCGCGCCTGAACCCCTCGCCATGGGGCAGGGCGGCCTGTGCGCTCGGCGGGGCGGGCTTGTGGGGCTCACACACCGGAGTGAGATGCCCGGAGTCTATCTTGGAAGGTGGGTTTCAAACAGCGCTTCCCCCAGGCGCCTCGTCCGCTCCCGCCCATTCCCCTCTCTCGTCCCGGTGCCACCTGCCTCCAGACCGGCCCCGGGCGCCAGGTATAACAAACGTGTATTTATTCCTGACCCAGTCTGCTGCCACCCCCAGCCCAGAGAGCGGCGGAAAGTGCTTGTAACCCTGTTGGAGCTAGACCGTGGGGCTGGGCTGTGGGTTCCCGCCCACCGGCTGTTTTCCTGAGAGGGGTTTTAGCTCAGTCTCAAGTCACTGGCTTGATGCAGCATGGCAGGGTGAGGTTCTATGGAGAGCCCGTGTTAGGCAGGAGCTCAGACGAGGTGATCATCAAAATAGTTCCTCTGGCCTTAAAATGTACAAACACCAGTGCCCAGCCTGTGGGAATCCTTCACTAATAAGGGTGCTGTGCTCCGCGTGTTGTAACGGCTAGGAAAGTACCAGCCCCTTCCATACCCATGACGTGCCTGTGTCCCGAGTAGCTGGCACAAGATATTTTTCAGGGGATGCATCCTGATTGCAGGGCACCATGCTTTCAGGCTGGTGCCATGGCACGTATCACAAACAGTAATGTTAATGTGAGTTAGTCAATTTAAAAAAAAAAGCGTGGCCTCACGGTCAGGGCTGGATTAACGCAGGGGCTTTAGGGGCTGCAGCCTTGGGCTAAGGGGGCCCCCGCAAAAATAAATCCATAATGATATACAATTCAGTGGTCACCAACCTGGCGATCGCAATCGACTGGTCAATCCTGGAGCCTCTGCCAGTCGATAGCTATCTCTGGGCCACTAAAAGTCCAGTGGCGCAGCAGGGCTCAGGCAAGCTGCCTGCATGCCATAGCCCCACGCCGCTCCCAGAAGCGGCCGGTTGCTGGCACGTCTCTGCAGCCCCTGGCTGGGGTGGGGAGGCAGCTCCGTGCGCTACTCCCAGCACCAGCCAATGGGAGCTGCAGGGGCAGCACTTGCGGGCATGGGCAGCACTCGGAGACACGCTGTCCCCCTCCCCCCAGGGGCACACAGAGATATGCCAGCAGCTGGCCGCTTCCAGGAGTGGTGTGTGGCTATGGCAAGCAGGCAGCCTGCCTTAGCGCTGCTGTGCTGCCGGCCGGGAGCCACCCGCGGTAAGCGCCTCCTGACTGGAGCCTACACCTTGCATCCCCTCCCACATCCCAACTCTCTGCCCCAGGTCAGAATTCCCTCCTGCACCAAACTCCCTCCCAGAGCCCACACCCCTCACCCTCTCCTGCACCCCAACACTCTGCCCCAGCCTGGAGTCCCCTCCTGCACCCAAACTCCCTTCCAGAAAGAAACTTAGGCTGGGTCTACACGACCCGCCTGAATCGGCGGGGGGGAAACGACCTCCCCCGCGGCGCGTTTTTGTGTTCCCGTGGGGGTCCACATCTCAGGAG